GGAAGTCACGTGCCAACCATTAAAGCTGCTACAGTAACAATCACTCTCTTTATTAAAGGAAAAATCATTCAAAACGTCCTTCATATTTTGTAAAATTATTTTTTTCGTTCCTCATTTTTAAAAATGTAATTTTATATCCTTTAAAAATTCACATTGATCAAATTTGATTCCTATCTAAGTTTTCGACTGATTTTTTGCCGGAATTCATCACGTGTCTTGCATATGATCGTTTTATATGGGCAAAATTGTCAAATCAGAATTTACATAATCTATCTATAGTCCCTTATAGTTTACAAAATGAATTATTTCATCAATCACATTTCATAAAATAAATTTTTTCATCTCTCACATTTCACAAAATGAATTTTTTCATCCTTCATTCATCATGTGTACAAATGAATTTTTTTTAAATCCATGTATATATCTATTTGATTTCACCTGAACAATACGAATAGTATGTAATATATCTCTATTTGATTTCATTTAAACAAACTAATTGTAGTTGTACATATGCTATTCAATAGATATATACATGGGTTTAAATCTAAAATTTTGTTTTAAATTGATATATATATATATATATATTTGATTTCACCATGAACATGAGTAAAAAACTAACAAATTTTTTAAAACCCTATATATTTACTTTAATTTCACTTGAATAGTACATTCAAACGAAATCAAATAGAGATATATTACATGCTATTCGTATTGTTCAGGTAAAATCAAATAGATATATATATGAGTTTAAAAAAAAGTTATTCGTACACATGATAAATGAGAGATAAAAAATTTATTTTGTAAAATATGAGAGATGAAAAAATTCAGTTTGTGAAATATGAGGGACTATGGATCGGATTATATAAATTTTGATTGGATAATTTTGCCCTTAAAAAATGATCATGTGCAAGACATGTGGTGGATTTAAACCAAAAATTAGTTGGAAACCTAGATAGGGATCAAATTTGACCAATGTGAATTTGTAAAGGACGTAAAAGTACATTTTTAGAAATGAGGGACAAAAAAGTCATTTTGTAAAAAATGAATGAGTTTGTTTGGATAAAAATTTATTTGGATGATTTATTTGATCCAGTTACTGTAGCACTTTTTGTGATGTGATGTATGCGAGATAAAAAGGTGATTGAAAATTGTGTGTATGATGCAAGCAAAACAAAATTTGAAATTTTTATTCCAAATTCTTGTTGTCCAAACAAACTCAATGGTATTTTGAACGATTTTCCCTTTATTATACTTGAGGGATTACTACCATGTTTGTTAAGTGTTGGCAGATTTCCTAAGAATTGTTTAGGGGGAAGATTGCTCATAAAAGCTGATGATCTGAATTGTTTTGAAGGTCTGAGAGTGAATGGAATGGAAAATTAACAAGGAGCCACAAGTAAGAGTCATTGAAAGATCGGATGTTGGAGAATCCCCAACTCCTAGGAAAATGCTTTAAGCTCTTTATTATATCCATATTAGAGAGCAAGAGTAAGAATAGCGAAGGAAGTTGATCAATAATCAATAGTGTACCCCAAGCCATTTTTGCCTTAATTTTTTTTTTGTCATCTTTTATATTTTTCTATTTTATCATTGTAACAAAAGATATATAAACCTTTCACACCAACAGGTTCACATCATGTCATATAACATGAAATCAAATTCAAAATTTAAATCATGAACATATGGCATATATCTATAGTTGTTAGTGTAAAAAAATTACTACACTAACAATATATAAAAAGTTAATACTTTCTTAAAAGTATAATCACATAAAAAAAAGAGGCAGTCACATTTACATGCCTAATAAAAACTTCAATATATATTTTCGGGATAATTTCAGAAACCTGAAGGTTGCTAACTGTTTTACTAGTCTCCCTCTAGATTTCATAAATTTCACTAACCTCTCTTGAGGTTAATTATCTTGTAACATGTCAACCCAACCAACAATCAAAAAAATCATATCAAGAGAGAGAAGATAATATAATTCCACACATATCCCTCATCTATTACATTAGCTAGTTAATCTAGTATGAAAAGTGAATAATTATTTTTTCAAACTAAAACTTGAAGAAGTATAAGTGCAATTCAATGAAATTGCAAGGCAGGAATCAAAAGTAAGCAACACTTTACAGACTTATACAACGCTCTTTGCAATAGTTATTTCCATGAGACTGCATCTAACAGCAGGAACATAGAATTTTAAAGGGAATGTTATTGGTTAACATTTAACAATTGAGGTTCAGTGAATTAAGTAGTGCTAGAATTTGCAAGAATTAGTTCAAGATTTGGAAAGACAAACTATGGCCTCTTCAAGCTTTAGAGGTGAATCATGGAATTCACCAACTACTTTCAACATCAATAATAGATTTTGCAGATGTTTTTTTTTTTTTTAGTGTAAGATAGAGGACTCGAACCCAAGACCTCTTGCTTACACTCCCTCCCCCCGTACCACCCAACCCAACCCTCCCCCCCTGTAAACACAAGGAAACAATTAAAAATTCTGAGAGTGAAAAGAATCCACACAAGTTGCACTTTTATTGTTCAAAGTGCAGATTTTTTGAATGGTATGAAGATCCTACTGATGAAGAGATGAATAGCCAACAAAGAGAGGAAAAACTACATACTAGTATTTAAAGGTAAGAATAAGTATAGTTGCCTAACTGAATAATTTATTGTTTCATAATTATGATTTTAATTATGCCCAATTGCAAACAAGTACAATTGTCCAATTGAATAGCTTATGGTTAAATTCAGTTAATAACAGTTAAGAATGATTTAACTAATAAGCCTGCTTAATTGCATAATAGTATTTAAAAAGTTGTGAGGTTAGTAAAGTCATTTCACTGTGACTAATGCAAACATCGAACTCTAAAATTCTGATAGGGGAGGTCATTGAAATTTAGGAAACCTGAAGGGAGGTTTCTGAATTTATCCCTATACTTTTACCTCTCTTTTTTACGAGGGCAAAGCATACCGAGTTTGTAGTTTGGGAGCACCAGTGCAGCTAGGGGTGACAATTTTCGACATGATCTGAAAATATGACACGAATCTAATACGAAATTAATGGATTTGGATTGAGATTTCGAGAATTCGAATCAGAATCGGGTCGAACCCAATGAACCCGAAAAGAAAACGGGATCGAATTCGGGTCAATCCGTGGTGACTCAATATTACCCAATAACCCGTTTACGAATTACAAATAATTTAATAAACATAAAAATTATTTTAGCTAATTAAACTAAGTTATTCTTTTTTTTTCAAAGGCATTAATCACTTAATCCTAAATGAATTTATTTAACTTGTGTGAAGTTGAAATTATTATATTTGGACAAATAATGTATTATATTATTTTTTATTTTTATATAACTTTAATTTATTTTATATTTGGTTTGAGATAAAACACTTTTACGATATTTTAATTTATTTTAGATTTGGTTTGGAATTATTTATTTAAATTTTTATTACTTAATTATGTAATTAGTCTTGTGCGAAATTGATTTTATTAAAAATTACAGTAGTAAATTAATAAATTAAAGGGTTAACAACATAAAAGCCCCCTGTGGTATAGCTATTATACAGAAAAATCCCCCATGGTTTCATATCATACGTGTCGGTACTCCATGGTTTGAATTATTCTGAAAAATCGACGGAAATCGTCAAATGTAACGGGGTTAAGTGAAACGACGAAAATACCCTTTTAATATAAGCGAAAATTGCAGAAGTATCTTGTACTGGTATCGATACTAATGCTTCTCTCTCTAATGCTCAAGATTCTGATCGATCTGAAGGTGCAGGTGTTTCTGAATGTCTCCATGGCGAGATTGATATTGGCAGTCATGAAACTTTTCAACCAAATGGGGATCAAACCAATAGAACAGCAGAATCTGGGGTAGTGTCTCAGTTGGTTGAAAGCAAAAGTGAATGCTGCCAGACCAATGGTAATGATGTGATGCAGATTGATATTCCTAATGATCTGATGCAGATTGCTATTCCAGATACTAAGTCTTTAGAGGACTAGAAAGATATAGGAGTTGGAGAATAGTACCAGCATGATGGACAGGTTAACCATAAAGAGCAAGATTTATCAAGTCCAGAAAATGCTTCTAAGACGGACCCAACAGAAAGAATGGACGAGAAAACAGAAAAGCTTCCAAGCTTGCTGAGTATACATCAAGCTGGATATGTTTCGCCACCACAGAATGAAAATGAATTCTCCATAACATATTTAGTTTGGGGAAAAGTCAGAAGCCATCCTTGGTGACCTGGACAAATATCTGATCCTGCTGATGCTTGAGAGAAGGCAGTCAAATATTACAAAAAGGACTGTTTTCTCGTAGCATATTTTGGAGACCGAACTTTTGCTTGGAATGATGCATCTCTCCTAAAGCCCTTCTGGCCACATTTCTCTCAGATAGAGAAGCAAAGTAACTCAGAAGCATTTCAAAATGATGTTAGCTGTGCTTTGGATGAGGTTAAAAGACGTGTTGAGTTAGGTCTAGCCTGCTCTTGTATACCAAAGAGATGCATATAAAAGATTGAATATCAGATTGTTGAAAACACTGGGATCCAAGAGGAATCAAGCAGAAGAAAAGGTGTCGAAAGGTAAAGTTCTCTTGTTTTAAAGTGTGAAGGGTAAAGTAGGCATATTAGGAACAAGTTTGTGGTAGAAATCTATTTTCCACAAGAAACACGCGCATTTCCAGTGTGTTTAAGACAAACGCCGTACATTTGACGATTTCCGTTCACTTTTCAAAATAATTCAAATTATGAGGTACCGACGCGTATGATATCAAATCACAGGGGGCTTTTCTGTATGATAGCTATACCACAGGGGGTTTTTTTGTTTTTAACCCTAAATTTAAATTAAGTTTCGGATAATTCGGATTGACCCGTCAACCCGAAATTTTTGAGTTCGGGTCAAATATCCTGACTCCATTTTGAATTGACGGGTCAAATTCGAATCAATAGATTTTCTATTATATCGATATATCTCAACCGATCCACCAATCCGATTTGGGCCCGATTGCCATCCCTAAGTGCAGCCCATATCCTAAATCTGCGGGCAAAAATGCGTCATTTGTCGGCGATGACGTCAGAATAAGCCGGTGACTGAGGGGGATTATGTTAGCTTATGCTATGAGCAGTAGTACTAGGTTGGGACGTATATCAACAATCCTAAGGATGGAGACTACTGAGACGAACCCGCGCAAAGACTATTTTCAGTATGCCCACAATGATTCCTGCAAATTCTCCCGCTGGACTGCTAAGTAAGTCCCCCAAAGACCCTTTATTTTCCATTTGAAATTTTCACTTTCGTTTTTTAGTAGTTAATGTGTTTGACAGCTTTAAACTGCCATTGGATTGATAATGGAGCTATATTAGTCCAGTTCAGTGGTTAAATTGAAGGGTCTTTTTGGTTTTTTATCATAAAACGAGGTCTTGTCCTGGTTTCTTCATTTGATTATAAGGGAGTTTTTCTTTTCTTTGGTTTTTCAGTTTTTTAGTCAAAGAATTGAATGAACTCATGTTTGCTTGTGTTAGGGAATGTTACCAGTATATGTCTGCTAGGCCGTGGCAAAAAGTGAATGATTTTTATGCAGAAATGGTGCAGGGACGCGTATCATTGTCAGATTTGTTCAGAAAAGAGGTGTGCTTTTTGCAACATTTTAGATTTATTTGGTAGCCTTCATGCAGAGGAGGATTATGTGTTTGTTTTACAATTAATATTCTTTTGTTGGTTTTTTTTTATATTGTTTGGTTTGGACTGAAAATTATTCTTGTCATCTGTTTGAGTAAATCTACAAAACAAAATATTTGGCAAAAAAAATTTTGGTTAAACTGGATCTCGCATATGTACATTGAGCTCCAGTTATCGTTTCATATATAATGTAGTCTTTTTTCTTGCTACTTGTGCTAGAGTTATGGTAGATAACTTTGGTGACTCACCACATTGCAAGCATGGGAGTGCTATTTGTTTATAAATCTTAAGGGATGCCATGGAGCAGGAGTGGCAGGCTACTCCTGGTCCAGTCCTCTTGATCGTTTGGGCAGATTAGAATGGCTTTCATCAGGTTCATGGGGTTCTTCTTGTCTTGCAAGTAGGTTAAGCTAAAGATAAAAAGTATGGCTTGGGACTTGGCTTGCACTTTTGAGATAGATTTATATTACAACTTATGTATTCAGCCTCCTTGGTGGACTCCACCAAAATTCCTCCAGAACATGTTGTATCAGAATTTGGGTTAATATTTTATATTTTTGAGCTACTTATTCATAATTTTTTTGGTGTTGGACCTTTGATCTGAGGTCTTTGTGTTAGTCGAGGAAGAGGTTAGCTTGCATTTATTGTCATATGTGGGGCATGAGGGGTACCATTGGTTCACTATGCTGGTCTTTCGTTGAATAGGGAGATGATGTAGTGTTTGTAAATAACCCAGAGTTGTCCCAATTGGCTTGAAAGAGCAAAATGGGGTACTTGATATATAGGTGCGACCAGGGCCTATTGGCTTAAGCTTTTTTTTGGAGTTGGGTTTTAACTCAGATATGGGGACTCAGCATTGGATTTCTCTAGACTTTATCCTTAATAATATTGTTGGACGCCTTGTTAACGGTATACTATGAATGCTTGAGATTACACAAAAATGGATTGCTTCTGTTTAATTTTTATTGTTCTGATATCGACTTGGTTTAGGTTTCTTAGCAGTTTTTGCATCCCTCATAAAATCTTGTTAAAGTATTTTATGGCTGTTAAAACTTTAAGGTAACTTATGTTATTTAACCTTCTCTTGAGACCAATCATGTTCTTGGTGTTGCAGTTTTTGATTGTTTTGGTACATTTACTTTTTGCTAGTTATGTCATTAAAGTGAAAAAGTCATGGGCTTAGTCCTGATGCCTTGAAGTAATTGTCTCACTCAACTATATCACCTTATTATCCTGGAGGGTTAGAATGAAAAAAGAGGGAAGACTAAATGACTACTTCTCCTCTGAAACAAGGTGGATGTCAGGAGAGCCAACATTTCCCAAACTAGACACCCCTGTCCTTAACCTATGGGAAAGGGTTAAATAAATTACAGAACTTCTATTCTTAACAAGACACCAATCCCATTTACACACTTGCCCATTGATAGCGGGCATAACAACTGCAGTCAGCTATCTGATTTCTATTTAAGAGGTTATCAGGCTTTTTAGTTTCTAGATGATTGATTTAATTTTCAGAACTGCAAGGTTTTTGGTAGGCTTTAGATATTATGGTGCCTTAAATATTTGTCTACTTTACCCCTTGTATTGCTCTGTTGTACTTATTAAAAAGAAATTCTTGTAGTTGCTGCAGACATGTGCTGTGCATGATGATACTGAAATCATAGAGGATATCCATGAAAATGACATTGATAGTGCTCCAGCAAAAGATAGGACTGGGAGGTGGGCAAGAGTAACTTTCAAGGTACTCCTTTCATACCACGGGGGTTCGTTTCAAGGCTGGCAGAAGCAACCTGGTTTGAATACTGTACAAGGGTATGTTTCTTGCAATGGCTTCTGATTTTTGTGTTACAATTCCACATTGCTGATTATACATCTGCTACATGATTAGTGACTAGGTGGAAGTGCTCCATAGACATGGCAGATGTCCCTTCATTTGGCGACATTAAATTCTTACCTTTTGATATTATTGCTCGCTTTAAATGTGTAAGAGCTAGTTTGTGGACTGTTATGCATTCCAATGCTACGGCCTTTCTTTTGATGGCTGATGACATGGCTACTGAGTTCTTGTCTGATACACCCCCTCAAAATGTGTCTAGCCAACATGGGTAGCTGATAAAACACAAGAAGAACACTGAAGGGAGTAGGAAATCTTCAAGCTCTGTCCAGCTAGGATAAGTAGAAACATAGACAAATAGTAACACACTTCTCTTGATCTACGTATCTGGTTGAAGACTTGAAGTTGCCAATGAATGTGGATGAACTAAATCCTTGTATTTGAGATCTCATAGTGGATAACCTCCCTCCCCCCCCCCTCTCTCTCTCTCTCTCATACAGAGAGACACATATTTCTCGCCATCATCATCTTGTTTTACTGGTTACATACAAATGGTTTTTTTATTCAACATCTTATCTATTAATTATTCAGGGTGATATGTTGCTATTTTACATGTCTTGATCTCTGCTATTTTTATCTTTGTTGGTTTGGTAATTTCTGAGCTCTGCTATCTATAGTATAGTTGAAAGATCTCTTGGAAAGTTTGTCGACGAGAAGAAAACTCAGCTGCTAAATGAAAAGAACTTACCAATTGAAGGCTGTGTTGTAGTAGCTGGGCGCACTGACAAGGGAGTTACAGCATTTCAACAAGTTTGTTCTTTCTGTATGTCCTCTTTCAGAACACAATTCCCTCTGTCCATGTTGTGGTATAATTTTTTCTTTGCACTTCTGTCAAATCTCTCTTATTTTTTCCCTGATAAATTTACTTCTGTTGAAGAGGCTTACCTTTTGACTTCCCTGTGTTTTTGATCAATTTTGCATTTTAGAGGAGTGACCTTGTTGATGTTGGCTTATTGATTGTTGTTTGAATAATTAAATGCATCTAGCAGGTGAGCCATATCAGGCATATTTGTATTTCTCTAAACTTTGAGAACAAAAATAGTTTTTTCTCATGGTATATGGAGTGAAAGAACAGTCTGACCTTATTCAATAGTTCCAGCTAATTAGTTATTCCCTTGTATTTTAGTTTTTTTATGTTGTTTGTTGAGTCTTATAAGAGATAAATAAGTATAATTCTATAAAGTGTATGGGAGCTAGATACCTGGATTTTGAATTCTCTACTTGTTGAGCTTGAGCCATTAGAGAGGTGAATCTTTTATTATTTAAACACTCTAACATAGCCCTTTAAATTTGGGATGGATTGTTTTGATTAGGTCCACGCGTGCATAGAATCTTTAGTATTGGTAGTGAGGATCAAAGCTTTTGGGACACTTCCTGCTCACATATGATGTTGAATTACTAAAATAAAAAGCTTTCCATGTGGAGAGAAAAAACATTTGGAATCCAAGAATAGTGATCATGTTTGTTACATTGTTTTTGGATGTTATACCTCATTATACCTCTGTCACTTGGAACTTAAAACATTTCTCGGTGGAAAATTTCTGCCTAAAAGTTTTACATGGAAAAAAAAAAAAGAGTAATTAACAACATAATAAGACTTCCCTCTTTCCCTACCACTCCCAGATTGAAAGAGATAGAGAAGAGAGTAAGAATACAGGATACCACCTCTTCTATTTGAAAAAGAGAAGGAAGTTTTGTCTGCTACCATTTTTTTTATGGTTTTGACATTGAAGAAAGACAAAACTGCGAAGAAATCACATGCTTGCTTCTAAAAATATTCAAAGAAGTCGCAATTCGTTGTCAAAGTTGATCAGTGATGTTAGGTTTTGGCGTTTCTTGCAGTATCAGAAAGCAGAGATGAGAGTTTGTGTATATAAAATATAATTCTTGAGAATGGTAATTTTAAAAAAATCAGGGATAGTTATTAACTCTCTTTTTCCTTCTGTTAATTGTGTTGCATGAAAATTTTAAATCAATCCCTTATAGAGGAAAAAAGTTTTTGATGAAGTTAGATGCAATGTAGTGAATTAATCCTATCTATATGTTTGTTTGATAAGCAATCAAGCTTCTGAATGGCCTCTCTGTATGTGTATTCTTGGCTTGATTATTTGTGTCCAAGAGTCTATTTGGATCATACAGTAAGCTGGGTTTTTGTTTTTTCTACATGATAAAATTTCTGAAAGTAGAAAGTTTGGATTTGTTCATTTTGGTGGCTACAAGCTATAGCCTTATGTTTCTCATTGTCTGCTTGTACATACACCCAAAGACGAACACAGACATCTGCATTTATACTTATATGCAAAATAAATATTAATTTTATCTCCCTTTAATTATTTGCTTCTTACCTCAACGGTTAATGTATAGTAGAATATTAGGATCTCATTCTCTATGTTCTTCAATGTCCAGATACTTGGCGAAAGGATGTGAAACCTCAAGACATTAAAAGCACCATTAATGATGCAGCACCAGGGAAGATCAATGCTATTTCTGTTACTGAGGTAATGCCGTACTGGTCATTATATATCAGTGATGATTGGATTATCGGATAATTCAGAAAGTTAATTAACAGTGCTGAATCGTTAAAGATTTTTTAACAATTAACAGTTCTGAATAGTTAAAGGGATATTTTTAACAACTACATTTTAAGTTGCGAGATAATTTTTTCAAACAGCCAATGATTGGGAAAAATAAATAGAATTTTCTTCATCATATTGTAAGAAAAAAAAGATACTGATGAGGAGCTACTTGTCAAAGGTATCACGTGAATTTCATCCAAATTTCTCGGCCAAATGGAGGCGCTACTTGTATGTCTTTCCCTTCAATGATGGAAAAGAAGCTGAGCTCAGCAGTCAGGTTGAGAAGGATTTGAATGAACATGATTATACCTTTACATTAGATAATGGACTTCATGATTACAAGGATCAAATCGAAGCTGGAAATAAGCCTACAAGGTTTGAAGTCAGCAAGGTTAACCAACTCTTAAGTCAATTAGAAGGTAAGTTGCTGTCCTACAAGATGTTTGCGCGAGACACTAAAGCCTCAAGGAACGTGTAAGTCAGAACTGTAGTCCTCTGTTGTTTGGTTCATGAATTTTTTGTTAATCAGTGCTGTATGCCAATTGGACTTGGTATATCATCTATGCTGCAAAGTCAAAGCATATTTGGCTGAATCAGATTGGCAGTTGTTGTGTAGATGTTGCCATCTGAACTGAAGTATTCTGAAATAGTTGAATTTTCGTTCTTAGCTTGGAGCTCACTGCCAACACAGAAGTCCTAAGTGGCAGTTCGTTAATAAGAGATGCTGAGATTGGCTGATCCCCTTGCAGAGCTATGTTGGTTATTGCTGGCTTCATTTTTGCAACTTTAACGATATTCACATACTCACATAGAAGATACTGGGTATCAGTATAACTTGTTCAATTTTGGTTTTGGGCAAGCAGTGAGCTGTAATTCTGAATAGTCTTCCTGGGAGATGCATCTGTTGGTTCTTAAAAGGCCTATATTTTGGCTAGTTTAGGATGCAACATCATCTTACATCCTCATCCCCAACCCTCTCCCCCCCCCCCACCACAACCCAAAAAAACAAACAAAACAAAGAACCCCCAAAGAAAAGGAAAATAAGTATATGCCGAAAGTTACAATTGATCATCTCTCTTGTGTCATTTTGTCCCCATCAACTCCTTATAGATCCAAAAATTTCCCATTGGTTTGGTGCAATTATTTGTTTTTTAGATAGACTGTTTGAATCCCTGTCCCTAATTTTCAATTGCTGACACATAATTCTTTTGAAAATTGTGTGTTCATAATCATATTCTTTTTACATTTGAAGAACTACATCTACAAATGTGTTTGTGGGTTCAAATTTTGATTTGCATGATTGTGAAAATAACATTTTCGATTTGACAGGCCTCATAAGGTTCATAGTTTCTGGATATGATGTGATTCAAATTAGAAGTTGCTACTACAGGGATATAGAATGTCATTTTTCACCCAACAAGTTGTATGCCATCTGCTTTTTCATTCTTCTATTCTTTTGTTGCTAGCTGTTATCTAGGCAATGTGAAGCCAGTAAACTTTGCTCTTTCTTTGTCAATTTTTTTGGCTAATTAGATGTTTTGGTGGCTGTAGTATAAGTGATTAAGACCTAAGATCTTTACTTGTACATTTTTTAGAACTAATAAATTCCAGCTGATGCTTGATTTAGGTTGCTTTCATTCTGAGCATTGTTAGATGGAAAATTTACCCCCCCCCCCCTGAAAGCATTTTATCATAGAGCTTTGGCTTGTGCTTATCTTTATGTATATACCCATTTATATCAAACAGTAATGTATCACCTGCATTCAAGTGGATTTTGATCTTTAGAGTAAACAATAACAATTCAAATTTACTGTTACAGAGTTTCTCTCTACTAGGTTTTGAATCAAGATTCAAGGCAGTTATGAAGTTTGTCCTTACTTTATGTGGGGGAACTAGTTTTTATGCAATCTGACATATGGTGTAGCAGCTTCTTAATCTCCCTTTGCCTGTCTTCTATTGACATTGCAGTGGTCCCCCAACTGAGTGTTTTGTCTTCCATGCCCGAGCGACGGAAGCAATCTTACCATGTACACAGGTCAGCAAATTAACCTCTGTTCACTTGTTCTATCATCATTCTAAACTCTCCATCACAATTTTTATTCCATTTAAGGTAATGAAGTCCATTTTTGTAAACTTGGTTGCATGTTATGTTTTTTGAGAAACCAATGAACGTATGTATGTTCAGGATAATTGAACAATCTATCAATCAATAGGTAGATATGTAAAACTCGTGATGAACTTGAGCAAGATGAATATGGGAGGTTCACAGTTGGTACATACTTGAGGTTGCATTCAGTGGTTCATTATTATAACCATTTGAATAGTCCAACGAATACCAATAAAGTGGTATTTGGAGTGTGGCATAAGGTGTTTATTGACTTCTGGGACGTTTTTCAAAACATGAAATATGCTCAAGGATGATGCCTAGTCAGCAGATGGAGAAGTTAAGACGGTAGGTCTTACAGTGCCTCATCTAAGTAAAACGTGAGGAAACTGACGGATTGACAATTATAAAACTGAGAACTAATTTACCCACCTTTTATACTTTACAAAATGATATTCATTTCAACAAACCCTAGGACACCCTAATACGGCAATTTAGAGTGCAATCCCCTATTGTAGGTTTGCTGTTGTGCATTTTATTTTGAGAACTCCAGCTTCTGATTGTTCTGCATTCTTTACCCTGGTTAGGATGTATAGTTGTGTATTGCGTACCTTGTAGATGCTACCACATTTCTTTTCTACTACCCCTGTACACATGCCTATTCTATATATCTAGGTAAAGCTTTTTGGCAACATTCTAAACAACTGAGAGATAGTTCGAGCAACATGGAGACTAGTTAATTACAGTTGCTATTTTTCCTGATGGCTTATGATTGTGTGATTGAGCAATCTGAATCTATATGTTGCTGCTGAAGGATTTATGTACTGACTATGTAAAAGACACTGTGATGATTGGAATGTGAATCTTTATTAGTTATTCTTTTGGTCTTTACACCTACCATTGAGCATGCAATTGCGTGGCAAGTTGGCTTATAACTATTGGGATTTTGAGATATTCCATAAATTTTACACTATTGATTTAGTTTGTTTTGCTGCTGCTTCTTCTTCTTCTTCTTCCTCTGTCTCTCCCCAAAACTCAAGGCTGGAAGTGAAACGAAGATCATGTGCATAGAGTTGGTTGCTAATCGCTTCTTGCGCAAGGTAGTTGCTTTTTTACTCCTATCTTTTCGAAATCTTGTCTGAGGAAGTACTCTCACTTGATACTGTTTTATGTATGTAATAAACTTTTGGTCTCCAAATGAGTTAAACTAATGTTGCTGTTTTAGAACCTTTTCTTGAAGATTTCACACTCCTTAATATCTAAGTAATTTCAAAATATTTGGATTACCTGCCTGCATGGTTTTTTGTAGGAAAAAAAAGCTATTAGTTGTGTATCCGAATATGGTTTTAGCTTTTCCTACAAGTGACAGTAAATTCTTCTTGATGGATATTATTGGTGATCGTATACTTTAGATATGAAGTTAAAGGATTTATATACACCATATCTTTTAGGAGAGAATTCACCAATCTTTAGTCCCATTGGCGCCAAGCTGCTCTGCGGTTTTCCATTCATGAGCTGATATATTCGTTGACTAGCAAAGCTAGTGTGAATCTTGGCCATCCTGGACACAAAGCTCTTATAGCTGGCCTATTTGAATTGTCTTTGGGGCTTTCAGTCTTTGTGAGATTCTTATAATTGATCAATGGTGGCCTTTGCATTGATTTGCAGATGGTGCGAGTTCTTGTTGCTACAGCGGTGAGAGAGGCTGCCGCTGGTGCTGAAGAGGATGCACTACTGAAACTGATGGATGCCACATGCAGGCGAGCAACTGCTCCACCATCGCCTCCAGATGGCCTTTGCCTTGTTGATGTTGGGTATACAGATTTTGATAAAAAGATTTGTTTCATATCTTAAGGTCTTGTTGTGACCATTACTACAAAGACTCCATTCTTCATCTCTTCATTTGTAAATTTGGGAGAAGAGGATATTTGGAAGGCAATCATAGGAGAGGTGTAAAAGCAAGGAAGAGAAAAAGAGTGGACTGTGGAAGGTATCCTCTTCCAGCTAATTGGCAAATCAAGATGGTCAATCTTATGGTCCTCATTTCAACTTCAGCCAAAACTTTTTGTTCTCACAAATGGAGCTACCAACAAAAAGAAGCAACTGTAACCCAAGTTAGCCAAAACTTGCCCTATATATGAAAACACATTGATTTGAGGTTTGCATGAGTACAAATATGTTGTAATGAATAATGATTGTAACTATTTGCCTCAATTTTAATTATTTGTTTTTCACTTCTTTAGTGCTACGTACTTTAATTGAAAGCCTCTGTTATTGTGTGCTTACTCTGTTGCAGAAATGTATTATAATATCAGGAAAAAGCAACAAAAATAGTAGAATGGAGAGACATGGGCAAATGCAAACAGGTCATATGTAAATCTTAATATTATTCGTCTAGGCAGCAATTCAAAGTGTCTTTGCCAAGCCTGGCATCTCAAATACGTATGCCAAAGCCATCTTTCTTGTTCTCATTTGGAAGTATGAAGCATGCAATAATTCATGCGAAGCAATTTAGAAAGTATATTGAAGCAAACCATCAAGGAAAGAGACCAAAAGGTTCAATTTATTGCTGCTTCTTACAAGTAACCCCTCTAATTTGGTGTTCTATAAGAGAAAAAAAAAAAAAGAAAATTTTGATGCTCTCAATAAATTTTTTAAAAAAATTATGTTTTTTTTTTCTTGTAATAAAAGGAATTATATATTGAAAAAACTCGAGTTACAGGTACAAAGTGAGGGAAGTAAATTTTTGGACACTTTCATAGCATACAAAATTCGTATCTTGCTGAGCACCCAGTTTCGTCAATCTATCAGCACACTGGTTAGTTTCTCAGTAAGTATATCTAAGTGTGACTTTCGATAAAGCAGATATCAGGAACCTTGAAAAAAATTATGTGCTACCTCACTCCTAGCTAACTTTTTTATTCTTATAGCCCTCTACTCATTCAAATTGGGGCTTTAAGTTGGTAGAAATGATCAAGAAGTATTCTCCAAGATTCCGATCCTTTGATTGATCAAAAAGAAGAATCTACTTCAACCGATATGCCCTTAGACACGACCATACATAACATAGAAATCACACTTGAAAATGGTGGAAATTTGGCTTGCGCTATATATATATATATATATGAAAGAGTATACAATAATGAGATGTATTTGGCAAATCACATGGGAATCTAGGTTCTTCTACTTTATGTTTATTTAACATAGTAGCAGCGTGTATAAGAGCAGAAATAGGAGTGGGCCCTTCCATGGCATCAGGTAACCATACATGAAGGGGAAATTGTGCCGATTTAGCAACGGCACCGGCAAATACTAGACCAGCACACAAAGTAACAAACAAAGACCATTTAAGACTTACTAATTACATGATATTTGCATTACTATATGCATCTGATTTTTTTTTCTTTTTTAAGTTTTATGAGATAATTCAATTTGAAATAGTAGTTTGGTTGGAGAATAAAGGTATGTTAGTCTTTGAACTGCAGAAAATTATGTACAAATCTGTGAATCTGATCCCAACTAACATTGAAAAGGGGGAAGCCACGGGGGAGAACAAAATGAAGAATAAAATTTATTCATCAACAAAGCTCAAAGGCAAACCGCAAATTTCTCATGCAAAGCTCTCCCATGTCACCATGCATGCAAAGAGAGGACATAGTCAACATGAACGATAACAACAAATGCCCTCTTTCCATTTTTGTCCATTCATGCGTTTTCACGGCTCCTCACTGCCTTTCACTATTCTTGGCAACTATCTCTCCCTCCCCCTCCCTGCCTTCCGGTCCTATGCCCATACATTTTTGCATGTCAACCTTCATTCCATTCTCCAGCTCCTTCTGCACACAAAGAAGACAATCTTTTGCTCAGGAGCCCTCCCTAAGGGCGCGCACACCACAAGTGCGCGTCACGATACAATTTTGCTCACGCCATGGCTAAGATTTGCAAGTCCTCATGGTGTCTTCTCATACTAGCCATTGTTCTACAGCTTGTTCATACGTGCATCTGTTTGTCAGAGCCTGATTTGCTTATACAGTTCAAGGATTCCCTGAAAAATACTGGTGCATTGTCCAATTGGGACGCGAAAGTACCCTCATGCAAGGGTGATCAGCCGAATTGGAGTGGTGTACTTTGCGATAAAGGGAATGTTTGGGGATTGAAGCTTGAAAATATGGGGTTGAAGGGTGATATCAATGAGGATGCCCTTAGCCAGCTGAAGAGTTTGAGGACTCTCAGCTTCATGAATAATGATTTCGAAGGACCTCTCCCGGATATGAAGAAACTTGGTGCCTTGAAATCAATTTATTTGTCGAATAACAAATTTTCAGGGGAGATTCCAGCCGATGCTTTTGTAGGCATGCTGTCAATTAAGAAGATTCATTTGAGTAACAATCAGCTTTCAGGGCCAATACCATCCTCCTTGGGAAGATTGCCAAAGCTTATAGAGTTGACACTTGATGGCAATCAGTTTTCAGGTCAAATTCCCGATTTTACTCAAGAAGGATTGATTAATGTGAATTTCTCCCACAACCACCTAGGGGGTCAAATTCCTGCCAGCCTGAGCAACCTCAAAGCAGCTTCATTTTCTGGTGAGTCTCTTTCTCAAAAATTGTTTTATGTTTATTTAATAGCACAACTGTTTTCCAATGATTTCTTATGTCTTTAATATGGTACCATGATGTTATAATATGATAGTCACGCCTCCTATTTCAGAAGGATGTTCAAAACTTGACGATGGTGGTAGACAATACCATAATAAAGTCCCAAAACAGGATACAAACATTGTCACAACTACAATGAAGAATTAAATCCTTAAGGTTTATGGCATTACTACAATTCGACCAAGTGGATAGCTTTGTCCCATGATGGAACTATATACGTATATTTAAATATCCAAGTGAAATAATACCAGCAGGGCAACTGATATTAAGCTTATAATTGGTTATTTATCTTGAAAATCTTTCCACACCATATAACTATGATGATCTATTTTTTTTCCTCTTGATTTCTAGGTCTTTTACTTTTTTCTTCTGTCTCACATTAAGAAATAAAAGCCTCTACAGATTAGCGCGAGATACCTAAGATGAAATCTATACATCAGTAAGTGGTATTGTCAGATTAACTTACAAGAGATTAAATTCTACTGATGAACAGATAATTCAGACCTTTGTGGTGCACCATTGGAACCATGTCCTAGTCCCCCAGAGCGAAAGCTATCTGTTGTAACTATAGTACTTGTTGCAATAGCTGTTGTGGTAGCTTTGGGAGCAATTGTTGCAGTTATAATCATCCTCAGCCGGCGCAAGAAAGCACCTCAACTGGGAGATGCACCAGCAGCTGCAGCAGCTCCACAAGGTCACAACAAACCTCCCTCTGAAGATTTGGACAGATTGGAAAAAGGGATGTCACCAGATCGCGGTTCAGAAGGCAAGAAGAGTGATCAGAATATCAAGCTTTCATTCTTGAGGGATGATGTTGGAAAATTCGACATGTCTGATCTACTCAAAGCCTCTGCTGAGGTATTAGGGAGTGGAATGTTTGGATCTACCTATAAAGCTGCCCTTAATACAGGACCAGTGATGGTTGTGAAGAGGTATAGGCAAATGAACAATGTTGGCAAAGAAGAATTCCATGAGCACATGAGAAGGTTAGGCAGATTGAGTCATCCGAATGTGCTTCCACTTGTGGCCTTCTACTATAGGAAAGAGGAGAAACTTATAGTTTCTACCTATGTTGAAAATGTCAGCCTGGCTGTTCAACTTCATGGTAAGTATGCATAATTCAAATTTACTATGCATGATGCAACTTTTATTAGTTCTGAGTATGAAGATTGCTTTTCTCTGCAGTTTTTAGCCATAGTTGATCACTTATTTCTCCCTATATTAGACTTCTTTGGTTGGATCTAAAATACTTTCCTGAGAAGTGGTTTTTACCTTTTCTGTTCCATCAATGACCAAAAATATGCATAACAATTTTGCCTTCCTAACTTTGAATTCCTCAGTCGGGGAGGAGTAATAGATATTAATGTAAGTAATTTCTGAAGAACCAAAAAATAAAAAAAGGAAATCAAGCCACCCGTGTGCTGAGGTCTAAACAGCAGAAACTTGTATTTCCAGGTAACAAATCTCGTGGTCTGTCAAGCCCTGATTGGCCTACCAGATTGAAGATTGTCAAAGGTGTATCTAAAGGCCTTCTGTATCTCTACAATTCGCTCCCGAGCCTGATCGCACCCCACGGTCACCTCAAATCCTCCAATGTTATTCTTAACGAAAACAATGAGCCATTGCTCACCGACTACGGACTACTTCCAGTAGTCAACTTGGAACAAGCACGGGACCAAATGATAGCCTACAAGTCACCTGAATTCAAGCAAAATGGCCGCATCACCAAGAAAACTGATGTCTGGAGCTTGGGTGTATTGATACTTGAACTTCTCACAGGAAAATTTCCATCAAACTTCTTGCAACAAGGTAAGGGAAGTGACACCGATTTGGCGACTTGGGTGCATTCTGTTGTCAAGGATGAGTGGACCGTTGAGGTTTTTGACAAAGATATGCAAGGAACTAAGCACTGTGAAGGTGAAATGATGAAGCTACTAAAGATAGCACTGACTCTTTGTGAGCCTGAAATTGACAAGAGATGGGACATTAAGGAGGCAGTCGACAGGATTGAAGAGATAAAGGAAAGAGATGATGTTGATGATTTCCACTCTTCATATACCAGTGAAACAGACATGCGCTCATCAAGGGGGTTATCTGAGGACTTCATTAATGTTCCAATGAATGGTTAAGTGGGA